TGTGTGTGTGTGTGTGTGTGTGTGTGTGTGTGTGTGTGTGTGTGTGTGTGTGTGTGTGTGTGTGCGCGCGGGTGTGTGTGTGTATGTAAAACACGGCTATCCCATAGTATATGGGAGATTAGAAGCAGCCATTACGTCCTTGGAAATTTTAGTACAGTACAGGGTTAACACAACCTAAGGAGAATTTTAGGAGCAGGTTAAGATTAGCATTATTGGGTTAGTCTGGGTTAGGAAAGGGTATGAAAACCTAGCCATAGGGGGGGTGCACGCCCTGAAGCGCGCTTTTCGCCGCTTAGCACCCATAGCAACTCATCAGAGGGATTAGTCGTTAGCAAGGCTCCTATTAGCACAGAGGGTGGTGGAAAGTTGTAGTCAGGGGGTCGTGGGTACACACAACATGGCACAGCGATGGATCAGGAGCTCCGTTGGTCGAAGCACGGAGTGGCCGGCCCAAGAAGGTGCCTTACCAGCCGCAGACAGATGGTTAGCTCGCCTGGTTGCGTAGTATGAGGGTGGCGCATGCAGATGAGCAGCAGCAACATTACTGCATAGTGATAAGGTAATCTTTGCGCGTAGCAGAGCCTAAGGCTGAGTGCAAGAGGAGGGTAGAGAGATGGAATGCAGCTGAATACATAGTAATTGTGATATGCCGGGTTTGTGGTAGTGGGCGTAGGTGGAAGAGGTAATCGCAACAGGGGAGAGTTAGCGGAGGTTGCCATTGCATTGAGGGGTATACGTGTTTTGCCTTGTAGATGGTGATGGTGGGGGTAGAGTGCAGGGAGGTAGCGGGTGGGGGGTGTAGTGTGGTTACTCAGGTTGTATGAACGAGATTTAGTGTCGGGAGGTTAAGCTTGCAGGGGACTTGGCTTAGTGTGACGTGGGCGAGTGCTTTCAGTCAGGGTCGGAGGGAGCGAGGTGCATTACGGTACTTTACTGGGTGCATGCTTTTGTCTTGTTTATGTTGCCGTGTCGTGTTGTGGCTATGGTGGTGTTTGTTGTGTAGTGGGGGTAGTGCGACCGTGTTTTTGTCACGGGTTGTCAGTGTCGTTTCATTCGAGTGTCTTATGTGGTAGGCCCTATTGTGTTTTTTTGTGGTGTCGATTCGTAAAGGTGGTGTTTCACGTTTTGGACCCGATCGCCGTGTTGCTTGGTAGTCATAGTTCTTTTTTTTGTGTGAGTCATAACTTTTTTTATTAAAACAAGTGGACCCGCCACAGCTACGCTGCGGCAGAGGAGAGGGACGAAGAGGGAGGCGGGGCCGTTGTTGTTACAGTGCAGGGTTTTGTTTACACTTTTTTTTTTGTCGTCATATTCGCTATACACGCAAATCTCTCTCTCTCTCTCTCTCTCTCTCTCTCTCTCTCTCTCTCTCTCTCTCTCTCTCTCTCTCTCTCTCTCTCTCTCCTCCCGTTCCTCCTGCTGCTCGTCCTCCTTTCGCTGCTTGTCCTGCTTTTCCCCCCGTTCGTCCTCCCCCTCCTCCCGCTTCTTTTCCCGCACCATAGCGCCACTCCCGCTCCTTGCCCGCTCCTTCTCCCACGGCTCCTTTCGCTCCTCCTTCCGCTCCTCCCACTCGTGGTCCTCCTCCTCCTCCTTCCCCTGCCTCTCCTCCTCCGCCAAACAACGTGACAAAGATCCCTCCATAGCCCCGCTCCGTTGTCCTGCTGCTACTCCCTCTCCTCCTCCTTTCCCGCTGCTTCCCCTTCTCTTTCCCCGTTCCTCCTGTCGCTCCTTCTCCCGCTCGTCCTCGTGCTCCTCCCGCTTCTCCTCCACCTATATTTCCTCCCCCTCCTCCGCCTCCCGCGCATTCGTTAACTCCCTCCCCGCTCACCGTCCCGCTCCCACTCCCGCTCCTTCTACCGCCCCTCCTGCCTGTCTCTCTTTCTCTTTTTGTCTGGCTGTCTCCATTTCTTTCTGTTGGTTGCTTGCTTTTGTTTTTTTTTTCTTGTTTTTGGCCTCTCTCTTTCTCTATATGTCTTTGTGTCCGTTGTTTTCCCTCGGCAGTAATGTGACTT